TCTTTAAGTAATAAGTTTCTTTTATGTAAAATGACAGCATGCCAAATTCACATAGTTTCTGGTTTCAGACGGCCCCTTAATGGTTGGGGTCTTTTGACATCCTCCACTGTCAAAGTTGTTTGATCCCGGATCATACAGTTCTGCCAAGGAACACCACGTTGCGGCCTCTCCATTCGCTTTATTTTTCTTTCTAGTTGTAAGAAATTTATTCCTCTGAATCTTCCTCTTTTCCTCTTCGTACAAACTAGTTAGACACAGAATATATTTCCACGTCTTCTTCCCACCATTACGTCTAGTTTTACTTCCGTAAAAATATAGTAGCTTTTTGGCTTTTTACTGATACTTCTTAGCCAAAAAGCTACTATATTTTTTTCTCTTCCCACTTCATGACCGCCTTTTTAAATTACCTATAACTTGTTTTCCGTCCTTTTTACATTTTTTTAAAATGTTTTGAATGTAGATTACAGAAACAAAAAACTATGGTACATTAACACTTAAAAAATATTGCAGTAATGCTTTCAGAAGTTAAGTGTAAAAGATTGAAATCACTCACATTTTAGCTGAAAATCTCGGCTGAAAATAGAAATTAAATCATAAAATTGTAAACAGAAACAAGTAACACCTCAACAAACAGTATAAAGTAGTTGCAACATCATTTGCACAAGACACTTACAAGTTTAGCGTAATTTTGTGGAGGTTACTTAGATCATTTCCAGATGTCTCCGCATTACACTTTGGCGTTGTGCCAAAACTGCTGGGATTCAGCCATAATAAATAGTATTCCGCTCTCAAAAAATTTCACATTAAATTGGGATCGGGCGACCCTACATATATACTAGCGCATGAACACGTATATGTATATTTAAGAATGTATCTGACGGATTTACTGTCTCAGAGACATATCTTGGACTATCGTACTCACAGGTAAGATATCATATAACTCTTCGTTTCACACGGAAATTAGTGTTTTTCCCTACGATACACAAATGAAGAAATTTTTTGGCGATTATTGGTTGTATGGTGGAAGCCTAGAAGGTCCATATTTAGCTTCAGGAGAGCCGAGAAATATTTGAGACTTACACGTGACTTTGCGTCTATCAATTCAAAAGCTCAAATTCGTTGCCCATAGCCGTATTCAATGCATTGCATCACAAAAAGACTTCTTAAAAAGCGTTTTCTAAAGGACAAAGGGAAGGGAGAGCGGAAAGAAGAGTATGTTTATTCAAAGTGTCTGCTTCATAAACAAGAAATATTTGGTACCTCGAAACCAAATCACAGGCCAAAAAAAAAGTCAACTCAAAAGATGGATTTTTTGGTATTTTAAAGCAGCCTCACTATGGAAAAGGTTAAGTGTTCTCCAGAATTTTGTTATGCACCTGGATAAAACTCAATTAAACTGAGGAAAATTAAGCGTATGGAGTTTCCACAGTCCACCGGGTAACGAAGAATGAGCTGGATAATTTGTTGGGAAATGGTGGATATCAACCAAACGGAATAAAATATTCCTGAATCAAGTTCCTTCATAATCCTTGTGGTTCTTGAAGCAACCTCTGCCTAAGCAAAAGAACCCGCCTGCTTCAGTAGCTGTTGCTGACATGATTCGAAGTCTGGCTATATTACCCAACATGAACATTCGGGACCGCGGCAACAGTTGTAAAGCCGAAGGTAGAAGAAGCCTTTGGTTACTGCATCACGGTTCGTTGCTGTTAATTTGCTGGCATTAACAGCATGTTGCATACGTTATTCATTTTTCTTATTTTCCTGTTCCTCTCGTTTTACTATGGGCTCTCGTTGTGTTCGCAACGGTTGTCGCAGCGTTGTTATGGAGTTTTGCCAGACAGCACCTCAGTTAGCAATTCCTTACTGCTGCGCACCGTTCGGCTTTCTGACTTATCCAGTTGGTTCAACTTCCTTTGACTTTAATTGTATTTTTTAGATTTTTTGGTTGCTGTTTTATTTTCATCGTTGGATTAATACTTTACGCTTTTTTTCTGGATCGAAGTTTTATTTTTAATGTGCTATTAAAGTGGATGATTGCTGTCTTCTTGATTTGGAACCGTTATTTGATATCTTTGAATTTTTGCAGTTGACTAGACATTGCTATTTTATAGTATCTTTCCCACAACTGATTATTAGTAGCACAGATTTAAACGTTATACCTGAGCTTTTTTCGCAGAATATTCATTTTTCGGTTACTTCCGGTGTGTGATTTGATTTGGTTACAATAAGTTTATACAAGTTTTCTGAATATCTTTTTTATCGACTATTCAGTGCTGGTAGCGATGCTACTGTGTCAGTCCTTTAAACTGTTTAGAAGGCTGATGGGTTGAAACTTTGAAAAAAGTATGGACCTTGATGGGGACTCGTTGGTAGGACGTGGTAACAATGGCACATACGAAGTGATTGATACCATTGGTCAGGGCTCATTTGGGACTGTTTTAAAAGCCAAAAAGCTAGAGGTTACTTAATTTGTCAAATTACCGTCCTTCTGCTTGTCTAATTATTTATCTGCAGATTTGCATTTGAGCTTACAAAGCAAAAACTGTTTTGACGAGTCTGAGTTAAGCGATTTTATACTGTAGTTTTGTTGTAATCCGGATTCAGAATGAATAAAACTGTCACTTCAATGCTTTACTGTGTAGCAGATGTTTTATATTTGTGTATAATTGCGATATAATGACACAGATGTAGCTCCTTCTTATTTCGTGGTTAGTTTTTCAGACAGGTGAACTGGTAGCATTGAAACGGGTTGCTATTAAGGATGATCGTAATTCTGGTTCACATATCGTTCGAGAAATGATGATTTTGCGGAATATCGATCACGAGAATGTAGGAATAATCCTCACTTTTACAGCTTTTAACAAAAAATTTGTGAAAGATCAGAATTAAGGTTTTGCTGTGTGAGCATGTCTAGAAATTTTTTGGAATTCTTATTTTAATTTTAGGTTGTGAGACTTCTCGATGTCCTGAAGGATTCATCTGCTGTCTCATTTGTTTTGGAACTTGCAGAAACTAACTTAAAAGCTGTGGTTGATAACCCCTGCATTTTCCTTAACGAAACTGTCATATGTGGATATTTCTATCAGATTTTGAATGGAGTTTCATACCTCCATAGTATAAGCATTATGCATCGTGTATGTTGCTGAAGAAGAAGCGTTAGTTTTCCAAAACTATTGTTTTCAAACAGTTACTCTCTTTATTTTAGGACCTCAAACCGGGAAATATTTTGGTCGCTGCAGAAGGGATACTGAAGATCACTGATTTTGGCCAGTCTTGTTATTATCTAGAAGATGATATGTCAAGGACTTATGAAAACCAGGTTAAATATGTCACATTACAGACTTTTACTGGTATGACACTCATTTCGAAGCATAACGGATTTCAGACTTTCACTATCTTCAGGTGTCTTCTAGATGGTATCGGGCTCCAGAACTGCTTTTTGGTTCTGTCCATTATTCTCCAAAAATAGATCTGTGGTCGTGTGGTTGTATTTTAGCTGAGTTACATAAGCGGGGCCCTCTGTTTCGTGTTAGTTCATTTTTTTACATGAAGTGGTTTTGTATGATAGATAGCTCATTTATAGCTTTCTTGCGCATTAGCCTTTCTAAAGTATTAGCATTATTCGAGGTCAAATTTATTTTATTCATAAGAAATTGAATATAAAGAACTATTTCCGAAATGAGGTGCTGTAAAATATTTAGGGAAAAAACGATATTGATCAGATCTCGTGTATTATCTCAGTCCTTGGTTCGCCAGGTGAAGATAATTGGAGAGGATGGAGCGAACTACCTGACAGCAATAAACTAATTTTTGAAAAACGTTTGCCGATTAGTGATTGGAGTGTATTAGGTTATTCATTTATATAGTTTTTTTCGATAAATCATTTTACGGAAAGTGTCTAATTCTTTGATTCTGTTAGAAATCCGCCTTTGGTTATCGTTGGAAGCCTTCGTATTATAACGTTTTTTAGTGCCAGGGGCCTCAAAGGAGGCTAAATCTCTGCTGCAGAAACTTATTACTTTTGATCCGGAAGTTCGCTTCTCTGCCGCGGAAGCTTTACGCCATGATTTTTTTTCCGAAGTTGTTTCTGGAAGTCGTTTGGACCCACTGTACAGCTGTTGTTTTGATATGGAATTTATTCCCACAGTGGTTGAATATAATGGAAATAATGATCGTAGGGGAACTTTTGGTATTTATTGAGCTGTAAACGTTAGTTAATTTCGTAGTATCCTTGTGGCAGCTTCACTTTTAATATTGCCATTGTCTCGTTCATTATTTGTGGGCTCAGGGAAATTATGGGTAATTTTTTTCCTATTGCATTTTCAACTGATAATTGTCTTTCCCCTCATTCGAATAATTTTACTTTATAAATTTTAATGAATTACGGATTGTTTAGTATTTATGGCTTTGACTTTATACCTTTAGCTTTTTGCCATGGTTGTACAGTGAGACGTAGTAATTTATTATTTGTCAAACTGATGTTTTTTCTACAGTCTCCTGTACTGCATTTATTGTGAAGTTGTACTTTTTTGACGATTCTTTTTGACAGTGATCTCATAGTTGATTTCAGAGCAGTGTTCTTACAAATCTTTACTATTCAATTAATTTAGTTTGGTCATTGGCTTCAGCTTTTCTGATTACATTTTGTTGTTTCAGTAACTAACGTTTCATGTTTGTAAATTCTGTTCTTACGTGTTTGTTTATGCGGAAATAACTTGTTAATCTTGTTTACTCTGTTCTTCCATAATGTGAGATAGCATTTTTCTTCTGTTTTTTCGTTGCTTCGTTTTCTTCTTTAATTCTTTGTTTCGTTGTAGATTGTTTTGTACTTGATTGTTTAAGTGATTACAGACAGACAGATATCTCAAAATTTTGGCATATTAAGTTACATCTTTTGCAGTAAGTAGTAGCAGCAACTAAAATGTATTTTCAAGCTTAGGTTGATGAGATTTTTGATGAATCGTTCATGATTTCTCTCTCAGTATGGTCTTTTCGAAGGGCAGAGGTGTCATACTCAGTGCCCATCATGGTTTTCTCAGTACACCTGTTTTTCAAACGAATTTTCTTATGCTTTTAGCTTTTTAATTCTAACAGTTCACTGTAGAATTAGGAAATTATGCGAAGAAGAAGAAATTTCCTATTTTTTAAATTTAATCATTCGCAAAATTTTCTTGGGTATGCTTGATGTGCGCTAGCAGTATCTCTGGGGCTTATCTTTCTTTATGCATTTTCAAATACAAATAAAATATCTCTGAAAATATGAGTCAGTAAGAAGCAACAAAGAAGGAGATCAAAGTTTTTCAGACCTGAGTGGAGGTAAAGCAGAAAACTTTCGTTTGCATTACACAATTTTCTGAATGCTACCAACCTTTAGAGAACTGCGAACTGGTTATCGTTTTCTTACATCTTTGATGTTGTTAGGAGCTGTGCTTTTTTTCTTAGCGGAGTAAAAGTACGGCAAAAAGGAGATTCTGAGCAGATCGGAATGTCATTCAATAAGGAAATAGAGGGTTCCGGTGTTTTATAAAGAGAGAAAGTTCTGAATATCAGATGAGGGGCATGGGTTGCATCGCCGTCTGGATGACTGCTCAAATTGCACCA